GCCTGATTGTGCTTGAGCGCCACTCGATGAAAGTTTCGGCCATAGATGGTGCAGCTCCTTCTTCGCAGCCGAAGGAAGAGGCGTTTGCCGAACCTGGACCAGGGTTGTTCAGCAAGAAACCTGGTGGCTGTGTATCCGGTGGAGATACGCTTGTATCGCCGATGAATGTAGGGCCAATTAAGCGACGGCTGATAAATGCTGATCGAGGCATGTTCTTGGGTCCAGGTGACTGTGCGGTCGGGGTCTGTCAGGATGACCCAGGTGGCAAACTCATCATAGTTGTCGAAGTGATGCCACCATCTGAGTGCCGGCTCAGCATTGATAAATTGCCCATGTTGAATACCCAGCAACTTGGCTCTGCGATTGTGCTCTCGGCTGGAAAAAGTGATGCTGGCACTGCCAATGTATACATTGGACTGCGGGTTGACGGAGCGCGGAAGGTCAGGGCGGAGTTCTACTCGCTGCTTCCAGTACACCGCATTGGGCTGCGAGAAGTGGGTGAGGGTGTACATGTTCGGGGATGCGCAAGCGTCGTAGTCGGCGCCTGAGTTCTGTAAGTGCATGTGTGGGACGACCGTAGTGATGAACCATGAGTAGCGTGGACAGAGACTCGGCCCACATGGATAGTTGCTTGTTGACCATCGGCATGTTGAGAATTCTGCGACACGTAATGATGATCAGGTAGAGAACCTGATAATATTGGTAGGATGCGTGGACATCGAGTGGATCACGGAGTCTTAGCGCAATGAGCGCCGTGAGGCAGGGAAGGAAGTGGTCGGTGCCGTGCTGCAAGCTGACTGGCCACATGGGCTCAGGGATGCCATAGTGTCTGGCAGCGCCGCATAGTTCTGAACGTTCAAACTTGCCGAAGAGCTGCAGGAGAAACACCGTCTCCGGAGATTGAATAACCGGCATGGCTTAGCCATGTATCACATGCTCGAGCACCGAAATGTTAAGTGGGTCTACTTAGAACCACACCGGCTTGCAAACCCCCAGAACCAGGAACGAGAAAAAGAGAAAAAGAAAAAGCAAAGGAAGGACTCAGGGCAAGTTCCGGGCACACCTGAAGGCAGACCAGAGGGAACCACCGAAATCCCAGCGAGAAAGGCATCGACCAATAAGCTTGCTAACATCCTTCATCGTGAGCGCTAGCATCGTGTCTCTCACTTGCCATACATGTACAGCACCGTGATGAACTGTAGGAGTGCTCGCTTCGATCCCTTGCTCACCAGCGAGATAGCGGCGCCCCACTTGACTGCAATAGTTTTCAACTGCTCCATCGTGTCCGATGCCAGCTCCTGCTTGACGAGATCGAGGTAAGTCGCTTGATTAAACAGCGTGCATTCATGCAACCACGCTTTGAAGACTTTGTCCGTGAGACTGGTGGGAAGTGGGACCTGCTGGTCCCTTGGGGTTGCCCTGACGTAAAAGTTCTGGATCTAAGGTGATGTCCGGCGCGGCCTCCGGAGTCTTGCGCTTTGCCGGGCGTCGTTTGGGAGCTGGATCAGCCTCCGGAGATGGAACTGGTAGGGGGGGCCCTTGAGCATCCGACATCGCTTTGTTGATGTAGAGGGACTGGTCAGAGCGGCCAGGTGTGGGAGTCCAGGAAGTGGTATTGGAAGGAGACGACGATGGCTGCTTCTTGTCCGGTGTGAGGGTGATGCCTTTGTTCTTGTAGCGCTCAAGCTGATGTTCCAATTCGGCAATTTTGTGGCGGGTGAGGTTCTCCTGCTTGGCGGGCTGCAGTGACTCTATGAGGTCCACGATTTTGAGCGCGAGTGGCTCCATGAACTGCATAGCCTCGTTGCGCTTGTCTGGCGCATTGCCCGGGTGAAGGGAGCGGGCAGTCCGATCGATGTCGACCTCCCTGCCTCGCAAGGCTTTGAGGACTGATGTCAATAACACCGCCTCGGCTATTGTCTGAGCCATTACCGGTGTACTGTATCGCCCGTTCGATAGCGCTCGGAGTGCGTGATCTTCTGCTCCTCCCCGAAGAAGACGTGTCAGCGGAAGATCTAGAATTGCTGTTCCTGCGAGTCCGACCCGTCGAGACCACTGAGTGGGTTGAATGTGACGGTACAGTTGCAGGCCGCGGACTTCCGTTTTGTCGAGGAAGATGTCATCAGATTGAAAGGTGCTGGGAAGTAGCTGCGCATAGCGAGGCTGAGTATACTGCGTTGTATCGCCTTGGCCTGAAAGTGCACGGGGCTGAAGTTGAACTGGTGGTGCTGGTGGTGGGGGCCGAGAACCTGTCTGCATGCGGGTCGTGCCACCGCCATGATAGTTGTAGAACTGACCAGGAGGCTGCGGTGGGAACTGGTAGGCCGAGGAGGATTGACTCGGGGTACTGCTTCCTCTCCAGGTTGGTGCTGCATGGATTCCATCCGGTTGGAGCTCGAGTAGGCTTCTGTCTGGGACTGCGGGACCGACCATGATGGAAGATGCGAAGACATCGGTTGCGAAAAAAAAAGTTGTCGAAGTCGCCGGCCATGAGTAGGGCCACTGAGAAGCCATCAAGGGATGGTGGTTTATCTCTGGCACTTGCTGATTGATTGACCAAACGCTAGGCATACGGCACGGGTTGTCACTATGACAAAAGGTTTTCAAACAGAGGCCGGAACCCTTATTGTTGGCAAGAAAAAGCGACCAACACAAGCGGGTCAACACAAGACTAAGAAAATCACGTCAAGAAGACCAGCAAAATAAAGTCGTGCTTGCGTCAGAAGGCCCTAGCGTGCACTTTTTGTCGCAAAATGCTGTCGGCGGGCGAAGACGGCAGTGTGGCATTTGCAATGAAACATCATTAATTGTCATCAGGTGCAGCAGCTCTTCTGATCGGGTTGCCAGCGTAGCAAGACCAGCGCATCGATGAAACTCATAGAAAGCAGGATTGCCGAAGTGGTAGATTGTGCATCTGAATCATCGCCTGATGCAGGTTCACGAGCGGAGGACACTTGTGGGTGGTTTCGCGTCGGTAGGCCATGCGAGTCCAACGATCTGGCTTGCTTCTGGAATCACCATCCAACACTTGCCTGCCACATAGTGTATAGTGTCGGGACGTTCACTGGAATCCAACCAAGCTTGCTCTCCTCCTGCACGAATCGGCTGACAGGTGCCGACAGCTCGCCCAAACAGCAATAGTTGGGCCACGTTGAAAGACATACTCCAGTTTTGACTCATCGTTCGGGCAATTTCTTCAGCATCGTAATCGGCGTGTCCAGTGATCTTCCAGCCTTGGGCGTAAAAGGCTGGGCGCTCTGAGGAGTGCTGCCGGGATGGATGTATCTGCCGGCTTCGTAGTATACCTCGAGTACCGCCGACACTGGACGCGTGGGTCCAGAGCAGCATGGGTCGCGTCTTCGTTGGTTCCTTGAGCCGAACCGTGGCGCCAAGGTAGGGGATGGTCAGCATGAACCAGTGTGGAGTGATCTTGGAGTAGTGATGTTCCGAATTGACCTTCGCATAGTTCAGGGTGGAGTGCTGAGACGGTATTCCTGCTGCATTTAGAGTAGCGGCCACATAGAGCACCTGAAGTTCTCTCCTCCACGGGTCGGACTGTGGGTTGGGGAGCAGGATCAGCGGATTCGGACGTAGCTGCGTGCTTCTCGCGGATGACTCCGTGACTGGATGAGCACCCACTGCTTCTGCTGCGCGGAAGTGGGGACCTGTTGGTTCTCGGCCGCCGGGATGAGGCTTGAGTTGCTGTAGGCACTGAAGTGGCGAGAGCCGATGCTGCCGTGGTTGAATGATCCGATTGTGCGTCCCTTCGGGAGATCGGTGGTGGCGTCCTGGAGCGAGCTCGACTGCGACGCTGTGGGGGCACTGACTTGGAGTAAGGGGAAGCTTTGTGGGAACGTGACCGTTCGCCCTCCGTTGCGCGGCGTGATCTTGCCGGTGGCAGCATCTGACCGGATGGATGAGCTGCCGAGGATGTAGGTGTTGGGGTCGGTGCTTTGGTCGGTGCGGTAGCCGGAGACGGACATGCTGTAGCTGGAGCCGTTGGGGTAGTTGGAGTCATTGGGCCATTGGAGTCATTGGGGTTGCTGGGCGCGCCTTCACCAGGATTTGCGGCAGTGGGCCAGCAGCGGATCCGGGCCAGGTGGGAGAAGCAGAGATAGGTACCGCTGCGACACTGGGAGCAGGGGATGGAGCCGAAGGTTTTGTGGCCCTCGAGGTACCGGACAATGTGCCAGTAATGCTGGAGGTCGGTGCCACAAGTGTACTCCTGCTCGGTGATGCTGTCTGGCTCACTGGTGATCTGGGTGGCGTAGGACCCGCTGTGTTCTTGGCGGCCTTGGACATAGGGCCTGCTGAGTTCGACATCGGACCTGCGTTGGGTCGGGGCATCTGTTGCTGACAATTGCGAGCCAAGAGCAAGCTGACGGCGTCATGGGTTCTTGCCTGATGCGTCGGGCGGTCTGGTGGTTAGTCAAACAGTTTGTCTGACTTGAAGAGGTCCACGGAAACAGTCTGGGGTGCCGAAACGTCTGGGAGAAGTCCAAGCCTGTATTGAGAAGGCCAGCTGGAACAGTCAAGCGTCACGAGCGACAAGGTCCGGTAACAGTCTGTAGAAATTGTCATTGCATGAGTCGAAACAGATGCCCACAAAGCGGATCAAGACACTGACCGAAGCCCGGACGCAGTGCCTAAACACACTTGATATGAGACGGCGAAACTAACAATGTGCACCCCCATGCAGGCACAGGCTGTTTGAAGGTCTCCGGCAGGGCAATGGAGTTTCGGCTTCACACATGCCTGAACATTGTTCGCCGAGATTGGCCCTCCTCTTCAGGGACGCCAACGGCCAATCTGGCTACTGCATGTCAGGACATGAATGAAGGTGGCGTCCGACTCCAAAAAGAGAGAGAGAGAGAGAACACCGCGGAAACCCCTTAAACAGGGGTAGCAACATCGCCGTCCGGGAGGTAGAGTTTCCCAATTTGAGACGATGGACGCAAAAGACCTTTTCCTCCGACTTGTCTCCATGACACTCCATTCGCCTCGAAGAAGAGCGCGGCGTGGTTCAGCGGTCTGGCCGAGGAAAAATGGTCCGGTGAGCTTCCCCTTGCTCAAAACCTGGTACAAAAATGGTGCACCCAGAACCACGCTTCAAGAATTAAGAAGGCGGATTTCCGAAACTATTTCCGGCTGGGACTGCCCCTTGCTAACCTTCATCTTCACATGTGACATCTTCAGAATCACCCTCCAAATGGCTACGGTCTCTCCCCAACCGCGAAAAACCGATAAGAGTATTGTCAAGGCAACCTAGACCCGCAAAGTTGCGCACGTGCGCACCCGCGCGCACACAAAGGCACACACGATCGCACCACCTTGGGGAAGACAATGCCAAAAAACCAAACAACCAACCAACCAAACAACCAAGCAACCAACCAAACAACCAACCAACCAAACAACCAAGCAACCAAACAAACAACCAACCAACCAAACAAGCAAGCAAGCAAGCAACCAACCAACCAACCAACCAACCAACCAACCAAGCAACCAACCCACCAAACAAACAAGCAAACAAGCAAACAAGCAAGCAAGCAAGCAAACAAAACCAAGGTTTGACAGTCATTGGACACTTGGGGGAAGACTGCACCTTGGCTCGTCCAAAAACCCTCGCTGCTCCTTGAAGGAGCTCCCAGGGTGAGGCTCTCTGAGAATGTTGGTCTCAACAAGCCCTCAGAGCTGTCAAACCAAAGCGCACCTTACGAATCATTGAATAGTCCCCGTAAGAGCCTTACAGCCGAAAGCCGCATTTCCCATATTCTTTTTGTATGGGCGTTCAAGGGAACCAAAAGGAATCCGTCTGACAAACCCCCATTTTGGCACTAGGTGTTCTTTGCATTTCACATTCGGCTGCGTTTTTTTTAGGTGGTCCAAGGGCTCCCAAAGCAGGCCAACCAAATTGTTGCTTTGCTACTTGCAACATGGGGCTCAGGCAAAGGGTCTCATGTTTTTCACGTTCAATGCCGTTGAATTGGTCTGAATTCCCCATAGGTTGAAGGATTGATGACGATCTCTAAAAATCCAAGTCGCCATGGAAACCACATAACAACAACTCAAACTCTGGCTTGGAAGGCATGTGTCAACCTCCAAGAATGCTCCAAAACATGGTTCTAGAAATCGCACCTTCCATCATACCAAAGAGGGCCATCCCCTGACGACTTTTTGCACCCAAGGGTGTTTTTGGCATCACAGAAAGTAGCAGCCTCAAACCCCACGATCCACCTTAGGCGATGTTGCAAACGTGTGCCCCATTTGGGGGCCAAGCCTCTTACTAGCGAATTCCTCAGGCCGAAAGTTTCAACTCAATCGACCGCGTCACGAGCCGAAAATTATTGCCTTCCGCTCTAAGCTTTGCACAACGGGAATCCTAAGCACAAACATGTATACAACACAAATACATACCAAGGACCCCGGCCAATGCCCCACTAAGTCTCGCTGGCTGGCATTTAGTGAGTTTAGATCCAGCACAAATTTGCTACTAACGCCATACTGCTTCGAGCGCCTCTCAGGGGCAACCTCATTTTTGAAACTTGCGCTGCGACGGGAACGCGCAGCATGGCCCTTTAAAAAGGGGGCCAAACGATTGATCGACTGATTCTGTCGATATCACTGGAACAGGCAAACAAACATATCATCGAGCTTGCTCGCTAGCTGTCCAACATATGACACACTGAACTAGCCTGTTGCCAGCAGGCCTATAAGCTGCGCAGAGTCCGGGACCCCTCTTCATGGGAATTAGGCATGTTGTTGGCCCACTCGTTTCTGGAGTGGACGTAAGGGCCTGAATACTTGGAATGGGGTTTGAGGGTGCAAGAAAACATGATGAAGAACAGGGTCAAGGAGCAGTACTTGTTTTGCAAGTCCCGAATTCTCTAACGCCTCTCAGAAACGCCTCTCAGAAACGCGGCAGGACCTGGGCAGGTTGGCTTCCAAGCTTTTCAGTCAGTTCACATGACCACCCTCGTCACTGGATGAACAGAAACCATTGAGCCGATGCAAAGGGGCTGACTTCCGCTGCGAAGAACTCCAAAAACGAATTGGCCACGAGCCCACACTTTGCCACACGCAACGCAACAGACATAGGATGAAAAACCCCGCCCCCGCTCGCTCTCTGGAAATTAGGAAACACTGGATCTGGGAAAGCTTTTTTTTGCGGCTTTAGGGGAAAAAGCAGAAAGGGAAACCAAATGAGACTGCCGGATGAACCTTCCAATCAAGAGGGGCTCTTTTGTGGAATCATTTGCTCGGGGAAATTCGGAAAATGTCTAGCGATAACAACGCCTTGCGCGGAAGAATTGGGAAATCCACCATCAAGTTGGGAGTGTGACCAATCTTGGGAGTGTGACCAATCTTGGGAGTGCAACACATCCTAGAGGTCCTAGACCTGACTTGAGGCGATTCGGGCAATGAGTTTACATTCAACCCACAGAACTCAAGATTGCGAATGGATTTTGTCCAACAGTGCTGCGACCGCGCCTCCAAGTCAAGGCTTTGGGCCGAAGCCGAAGCCACCAGCTGCCGGAACCGCAGCCGCGCGTTGGGTTCCATTCCCAGCTTGCAATTGACGGCGTCGAAGGCCCTGTCCACATCTTTGTCACCGAGGTAGGTGGACACATGAAGAAGCATCTTGCGCACACCCTCAGGAGTGCCCTCGAAGCAATAGCGAGGCAGTATGCGCTTGTGCCCCTGCAGGGCGAGGGCAGCACGGCCTGACAAATTGTAGTAGCCCTCCGGGTCCACTGCGTGCTCGTCCAGCGTTGGGAGTGCGCCCGGCTCCGGGTTGCGTCGGCCCGCGCGATAGTCCGCTGACACCCTTAATTCATGGATCTCGTCCTGGAACCACGGCTCACTGAAGGCAATTTGCAACTCATGAAGCATGTTTGCAATATCGAACTTGTTTGCTGGCCTGGTTCGGGCAGGGGCTTCGACATGGTCCGCCTCGTTCTTGGGCTCTGCGCTTCGCAGGGTGTCTTGAATGATCTTCTCTTGGACCTGGATGTCGCAGTCCCCCTTCCACTCTGCAAAGGCTCGGAGCATCGCCTCCACGCCATGTTCCGAGGCCTCAAAGCCAAAGTCCGGCAGGACCTTCATCTGCTCTTGCCGGACCAAACGCATGAAACCCGCCCTGTAGCCCTTCGTCTTTCCCTGGGCCAGGCAGTGCTCTTCCGCGAGCTCCCGCAAACGTCGCTGGAAGCTGGGCTCTTCAAAGGCGGCCAGGAGGGCGCACTGCAGCGCCAAGGCATCGGTCTTGGTGAGTTCCTCCTTCTCCTGGATGCTTAGTGGGGGGGTCTCGGAAGATCAACTAGGGGACGGCTGGCCCGAAAGCATGTTGCCACCATGTCTTGTCAAGCCCCAAGTCTGCAATTGATAACAAGAGGCTTGGCTCTGCACAAGCGCAGTTTTGCAAGTAGACTGCGCAGCGTCGGGCTGCAAGATGCTGCCCGTAAGTCTCTACATGCAAATTGCTCTACGCAGTTGCTCTGACCAACTTCTCTGCGCAAGTAGCTCTTATCGAATGGTTCATTTCGACTGCTCTACGCAAGGTGCTTCGTGCAAGTTGTTGTTGCGGCATTGTCTGTGCACTTGGCGCTCTGAGTGGGTTGCTCTGCAAGTTGCCAACATTCTTGGCAAGTTGTTCTTCGTATGGCTGCGCAGGCGCCTTGCGCAAGTTGCTCTGCGCAGGTTGCCTCGCGATGGCCTTGCGCAAGTTGCTTTGCGCCGATGGCCCAGTGCACATTGCTCTGCGCAAGCTACTCTCCGAAACTGTGTCTGAGTTGCTCTGTGCAAGTCTGCGCGTCGCTCTCCGCAAATGCCTCGCAATGGTTCCTGTGCAAGTTGTGATTTACCGTGGGAATAAACTCTGCGTAATACATTTTGTTCTTAAAGGTTGCGATTTTCCAGCCGGAGCTGCAGGAATGCGCTTCGCATACTACTTTTGTACTTAGAGGCTAAGATTTCCCCGAACCCGCGACTGCGCGGTTACGAGAGCAGTCACACAAACCACGAGACAACTTCCAAGGACCAGCTGTGTAACAGCGATTGGACCAGCACGATGTTGATCCGCGCAATGCAAAGTTGCGCTGTACAAGTATCTCTGGGCACATGCACAAATGGTTCTGCGAAGGTTACACAAATGGCTCTGTGCAAGTAGCTCTGCGCAACTTCTAAACGGCTCTGCGTAACTGACTCTGCACAAGTGACTCTGCGCAAGTGACCCTGCGCGAATGGCTCATGCAAGTTGGTCTGCGCAAGTTGGTCTGCGCAGGTGTCTCTGCGCAACTTGGTCGGCACTGCGCCAGAGAGCAAGGCAAGAAGGAACCCCACGGCAAACTGCCTGCAGGAAAGCTGCCACAGGCGACTTCACACACAGCGGCCTGTCATAACGCACGCTGGCAATTCGCTAAGCTTTTGCACGCTAGCTGATAGAATTCTATTCCGGACATTGCCGCGCCACTTACTGACCTTGGCAGCGGCAAACCAAACGCCACTTTGGCTTTAGCAAAACGGCAGCATGCACGCGACTGTCAAACAAGGAAGTCACGAAGCCTGTCCAGGCCAAAAAGGCAATGTTTGACTCGCACAAATGGCTGGGGGTCAAAAATATGTACCCAAAATGCAACCCTGCTAAATGGAAACATGGACTGCAACCTGCGGTCCCCTGGTGGTTTAATTTTGACCCACACCCAAGTGACTGTTCTTTTTCTCGGTACGTCGTGCTTTCTTCGCCACCTTGACTAAAGCCGTTCTGCGCCAAGTGCATACGCCAAGTGCATTTTTCCACAAGCGCTAAACCCATGCGCTGGAACTACAAACTTAAAGATGCGGATGATGAGGTAGCGGGAAGAGGCGCGCACGAAAAGAAAAGCTGAGGTGCTTACCAACGCGCTACACCGTAACAAAGTGGAAGTCCCGCGCCACATGGCCACTACGACACTGACTGCAAGGCTTGCTTGCCCCCCGGCTGATTGCCGCAAGGCGAGGCCACTGCCAAGGCTGCTATGGTAACAAGCCAACGCAGGCCTGATTGTTCTCGCAGTGTGAAACATCTAGGCCACAACCGCAGGCTCGAGGGCAAGTTGCCGAATTTGCAACATAACAGGAAGCAAGGCGGCCTACTACAGCCTGTAGGATGCAAGGTGCCACGGTACAATGCACACGCACACTGCCACTGCTGGCCAATAGCACCATTAGTTTGTACAAAATGCATTTCCAGAGATGAACTCCTCACCAAACCTGCCCAGGCATACAGCCTTCAGCAACTCCTTTGGTCTCCCTCTAGCTTAAATTTGAAATGGCCAACTTAGCACCGGTGTCCTGGATGTCTGAGGGCTCCCAGCCTGAGTCTGCAGAGTCTGCAGAGTCTGCAGAGTCTGCAGAGCTGAATTTGCTGCCAGTTGTGCCCTTGGAACTGCGCGGGGAGAGAGACGCGAGAGCAGAGGGCTCTCTCAGCCTCACAATCAGGGGCTTCATGGGCCCAAGCGCCATGACATCCTGCGCCATCTGGCAAACCTCTAAGAAACTCTGAGCAACTCTGAGCTCTGAGGCTGCAGCATGCTCTCAGATTTTGCAAGGCACTTGCCTTTGCCTTTGCGTGTAGAGAATCTTAGGATTGCAATGGGCCGTTGCAAGGATCATTTCGCCATGCCAACCAATCCACAACATAAACATATACCAAAAGGTGACAGTCATTCCACGAAGCACTTAAACCTTGCAAGCAACAAGTTTGGAGGGTCCGCCTTTGCAGAGCCCTTGCCCTTGTGTGCCTTGCCCGTCTTCCCGGATTGCTCAACTCAAGACGCAACTCATCTTGGAAGTGCCGTGATCAAACGGTTCTCTGTTTTTTAGCGGGGGGGCCCTTCGGCACCCACGTGAATCCCACGACCACATCGGGGGGGCGCCTTTGGCACTCAATGCTGGATGCTCGCCTGGCGGAGAGACAAGACCGGAAGATGGGATTGGTGTTTTGATCTAGAATGCCAATGTCTGCAAGAGAGTGCTAAAGGGTCAGACTTTGAAGGACAGCGTGTGATTCAAGCTTCCGATAAATCTATGATAAGCTGACTTGGCGGCTCTGGTTGCCTGCTCCGATAGGTGTGGTCTTGATTCGATCTTTACACGTGGAAAATACTTGCTTTTGCTCTTCGTGGGCCTTGTCTGGTTCTCCTTATTGCCAGGCATTGGCGTCTGGCAGGGGCATAGAGCGCTGAATAAACAAACAAAACCACCCTTGCACAACATGCGCAGAAACAAGCAAGATCACCAAAATATTAAACGAGCAGGCACGTGTGTGTCGACAACTCTGCAACATAGTCAAGCAAGTAATTTCCAAAAAAGCAACTGGACGATGGTCAAAGCGTTCACTTGTAAAACATTGCAGAAAATCAGCCCACGTGTTGCGCATGCAAGCAATTCGCTCGGGCATGTGGAAAAATGTACAGGTGCACATTCAGTTTTAAGATTGTGAATTGCACAAGAAAGTGCTTAACATGTGAATGTGGGAGAGTACGCATGTTCATTTTTGAGAATCGGCAGACCTTGCCCAGCACGTAAGCAACAAATTCCTAGAGAAGTGGGCATGATCACTTTTGAGACTTTGCGGCAGCGTGTGCAAGCCAACGCAGTGAGAAAGTCAACACGCTGCTGGGACCCTGCAGGGTGATGCGCAAGTGATGCACAAGTAATTTGCCAAAACGACGTGAACACGTTCCTCTTACAGATTTTGGAAGAAGGAGATTACAAGCACGGACCACGTATTCTTGCTTTTGAGACTTTGCGGTGTATGTGAAGAAGTTACTCACAAGCACGAACAAGCGAGAACGGGAATAAGCTTTGTGGAGTACATGAGCAATGTATACATAACCAGGACCCAGGAACAAGCGGAAAGGTTAAAACCGTCACATACCACTTGCGGAATACTTGAGAAAGTGATTCACAGACATGAACAAGTGCAACATCATGCCCAGAACTTCACCATGACACAATCCGTGGCGTTCAGCAACTTGGACAATGACAATCACTTGAACATGTGGTTTGACAGAGATGATTCAAAACAAGCTCCTGGAAGTTTGGAAGGCCGATACCTGAACATGAACAGGTGCATCATGTGGCTTGAATTGACTCGTACTTTCGAAGACATGTGGCAACCTACAGCCGGATTGAACAAAAGGTCCATGTGGGTCAACAGATTCGGGCCAAACTCCTGAACATCTCAACTCCAATTGTGTGAGACGATGTTCTTTATAACGCACTTCCTGTGTTTGATAGAGTTTCCAGGTAAAGACAATGATTTGAAGGGCATAGATTTGGAAAACGAGCACACATCGAACATGAAGAACATGTAATTGCGGTTTGACAGAGTTGAGATTCAGAACTGACATGCAGGATTCTCAGTATGTCAGGGCTTAGTATCAATGCGTGTTTTTGCGGGCTTGGACTTCGCAAGAAACAAACAATGGTGCTTGGGAAGTCAACAAAAATTTGCATAAACAAAAGTGCGATGAATACGGTTGACAGAGTCAGGCCAAACTCATCAAACATAAGCATATAAAGTAAAAGCATATCAACTAAACAAATTTACGGCTACAGTGATAGGTTGCGTGGGTAGAATACATCGATTTGACCAACATGGAGAACCACACACAACAAAATCATACATTGAAAGGTCGTTGTAGTTTGACAGAGTTGGGCCAAACTCTTGAACGTCTTTCAACTTCGAACTTGTCAACACCGTGTCATGGGAGCAACTGGAGCACGTGTTGGAAGCACGATGACTGCGACGCACAAAAACTGTAGCAAGTGCTCTTCCCAAGGCTGTAAAACTTGTCTAGCATGTTCCCACATGTATCTGATTTACCTATAGCCAGTAACTTGCAACAAAAACACTGGTTTGGATATGTGTGTGTGTGTGTGGGTTTCTTTATACAAGGATTGTTGTTGTTTATTTGGGACATATCAATGATTGTCTCTCCTTTGAGCGATTTGCAAGCTCCCACAGCCCACTGTACGAAAGAACAACCCTCTCCCGCACACCGCAAACGATTGAAAAGGCTGGGTCACACGCGAAGGCGTGCAGAAGTGACCAGACTTAAAGCCAATGGTTGATGTCCTGCGTGCTACTGTCTTGTTGCCATTTTGTACGGTGGCTTTGTGATTCGGAGAAGAAAAAGAAAAAAAACAAAGAGCGTATGGTCAGTCGTCCAAGGGTCACGCAGGCCACGGCGGGGCTGGCAGAGCACATCCAACCAAACTAGTGTTTTGTTGCTTCCAACATGTGACAGGGGCTTCGGCAAAGGTCAGTGCCAATGCCCGTAGTTGAGGTGGTCTGAATTCCCGGTAGGAGACCCCATGATCCACCTGAGGCAATGCTTCAAACGTGTGCCATGAGGCCCAAGCCTCTTATTAGCGGCTTCCTCACGGAAAGTTCCAAATCAAACAACCACATCACGAGCCGATTTTTTTTGAATAAAGGGAATCCTGAGCAAACATGTACAGTATACAGTATACAACACAACCACACACCAAAAACCTGCTTCGAGCGCCTCTCCAGCAGCCTCATTTTTGCCAGACGTGACGACAAAATGGTTCCATCGCGTGTGCCCAATTTTCAGCAGCACCTTGTGGCTGCGACTTGGGCACATGCAGGATGGCTTTCAAATTTACCGATTCTGTCAATACCGTCGGAACATATGACACCAGGAGTGAAATAGTGACAACGACGGCCTGTTGCCTGTAGGGCTGTAAGCTGCGCAGAGTCCGAGCCCCTTTTCACAGGAATTGAGCATGTTGTTGGCCCACTCGCTTCTGAACACGTGGCTGTAAGGGCCTAAATACTTGAAAAGGGATTCGGGGTGAGAGAAAACATGATTGTAGGGGAGCTATATTAAATGGAGGGCCCGAACACTCTAGCACCAGCACGATCTCGGACAGCGGCAAAAGCAAAAGGGCCTGCTTGGCTTCCTCCCCAACTTTCAATCGGTTCACTTGACCACCCTCACTAAATGAACAAAAACCATCAAGCTGATGCAATCGGGGAGTGGCTGACTTCCCCATGAGGGGAACTCCAGGCTTTTGGTTGCAAGTCCACACTTTGACCAACAGAACTATACACCTGACATGTCGAAGTGTGTCATCCAAAGCAGCTCTCCTCGCCGGCAAGGGAGGGGAATTCCAGGCTTTTGGTTGAACAAATTGGCACAAGTCCACACTTTGACCAACGGAACTACCTGACATGTCGAAGTGCGTCATCCAAAGCAGCTCCCCTCGCCAGCGAGGAAGGGTTGGAACGACCCCGCCCCACTTGGTCTTCAAGCAAGGGCAACCGAATGAGATGGTCTGGACGCCCCTCACCTTTCCTGCCCCGGAACATAGTCTTTCGGGGTCAGGCTTGAGCTCCCAATGAAAGCAAAAATAGCCCCAAGCCTTGGAAATCCGGCAAGTTTCCTCTTCCCTCCTCAGGGTTGGCGTCTGGGCGAGGGCGAGTTGGAGGCCCGGCTGGGCGTGCAGTGCAAGGCCTGGCCGTTGTGTGGTCTTGGGCGTTTCTTGGCGCGAGACTTTTCTTTTTGGCGGCTTCACAGCTAAGGAACACCACCATTTTGGGTGACACTAGTTTCACTCTTGGTTGTGTCTTTACACTTGGAATGCATAAGAACTCAAGATTGCGAATGGACTTTGTCCAACAGTGCTGCGACCGCGCCTCCAAGTCAAGGCTTTGGGCCGAAGCCGAAGCCACCAGCTGCCGGAACCGCAGCCGCGCGTTGGGTTCCATTCCCAGCTTGCAATTGACGGCGTCGAAGGCCCTGTCCACATCTTTGTCACCGAGGTAGGTGGACACATGAAGAAGCATCTTGCGCACACCCTCAGGAGTGCCCTCGAAGCAATAGCGAGGCAGTATGTGCTTGTGCCCCTGCAGGGCGAGGGCAGCACGGCCTGACAAATTGTAGTAGCCCTCCGGGTCCACTGCGTGCTCGTCCAGCGTTGGGAGTGCGCCCGGCTCCGGGTTGCGTCGGCCTGCGCGATAGTCTGCTGACACCCTTAATTCATGGATCTCGTCCTGGAACCACGGCTCACTGAAGGCAATTTGCAACTCATGAAGCATGTTTGCAATATCGAACTTGTTTGCTGGCCTGGTTCGGGCAGGGGCTTCGACATGGTCCGCCTCGTTCTTGGGCTCTGCGCTTCGCAGGGTGTCTTGAATGATCTTCTCTTGGACCTGGATGTCGCAATCCCCCTTCCACTCCGCAAAGGCTCGGAGCATCGCCTCCACGCCATGTTCCGAGGCCTCAAAGCCAAAGTCCGGCAGGACCTTCATCTGCTCTCGCCGGACCAAACGCATGAAACCCGCCGTGTAGCCCCTCGTCTTTCCCTGGGACACGCGGTGCTCTTCCGCGAGCTCCCGCAAACGTCGCTGGAAGCTGGGCTCTTCGAAGGCGGCCAGGAGGGCGCGCTGCAGCGCCAAGGCATCGGTCTTAGTGAGCTCCGGTGCGGCCTCCTTTTCCTGGGGCTAAGTGAGGTCTAGGAGAATAGACTAGACGAGTGGCCCGAAAGCATGTTGCCACCATGTTTTGTCAAGAACCCAAGTCCTCCCACCACGATTGAGAACATGCCCCCCCAAAAACATACACGAGTGTTCCACATAGTGGTCTAAACAATCTGCAGCTTTGGCCCTGCAGCTTTCCAAGTAGACTACGCAGCGTCGTGCTGCAAAATGCTGCCTGCAAGTTTCTATATGCAAGTTGCTCGACGCAGTTGCCCTGCGAAACTTCTTTGCGCAAGTAGCTCTTTTCACACGGTTCTTTTTGAGCGCTCTACGCGAAGTGCTTCGCACAAGTTGCTGTTGCGGTATTGTCTGCGCACTTGCTCTCTGGGCAAGTCGGCGCGTCGATCTCTGCGAGCGCTCTGCGCATGTTACTTTTACGCAAGTTGCCCGGCGCAAATTCTCTGCGCAAGATAGTCTTTGCAAGTTGCTCTTGGTAAGCGCTGCGCAAGCACCTTGCGCAAGTTGCTCTGCGCAAGTTGCCTGCGCAATGGGCCCTGCGTAAAGCGCACATTGCTCTGCGCAAGTGTGTCTACGTAGGTGTCTTTGCGCGATCGCTCTGCGCAAGTTGCTCTGCGCAAGTCTGCGTGCTACATTTGCACTTCAAAGGTTGCGCTTGTCCAGCCGGAGCTGCAGGAATGCGCTTCGCGTAGGACTTTTTTACTTACAAGCTGAGATTTTCCACAAACCCGCAACTGCGCGATTACGAGAGCAGTCGCGCAAACCACGAGACAACTTCCAAGGACCAGCTCCCAAGCAACACAAGCAACCAAACTTGCGCGGGGCACACTGTAAAAGCGATTCGACAAGCGTAATCAAGGGAGCTCAAGCGTCAAGGGCACCCCCGTTTTCCTGCGTCCGCAAGCCCGGTTTCATCTAGACAAAACGCCAAATTGGCGAAGTCGTCACGAGACCTGCACGGCTGCTCCTTCTCGCCCCTCTCGGCACTGTCAGTCGCACCTTCCTCTCCGATCGAAAAGTGTTTTAGGTTCAAGCGTATTCGTTACGTAGTTAGTTGGTAGTCTTCACAGCACCAAATCCCCAACGCGCTGACACCAGAAAACATAAGGATATACTAATCATGGAGTAGCACGGTAGCACGGGCTCCAGCAAGAGGCACGCACAAAGAGGTAGACCACAGGGGTAGGGCGCTTGCACGTGCTACAAGGCTGACTACAAGGCTACTGCATCGTGTCTCGCAACTTTTGCAAGCAGCTTGGCAACTGTGCGCTTGAGGGCGTTGCCGAATTTGCAACATAGCAAAGAGCAAGGCAACTAGCGCATGCCTCAGGGCACCTGCCTGTAGGATGCAAGCTGCCACAGGCCCGACTGCCGCGCAAGCGGCCTGTCTCAATGCACACTGCGAATGCTGACCAATAGCTAAGCTTTGTCACGCTACCAAAAAAGAGCTGAAATCGTCGTGCCGCTGACCTTGCCAGCCAGAGCATGCATGAGAAAACAATGCACTCCTCACCAAACCTGCCCAGGCCTGCCTTCAAAAACTCCTTTTGGTCTCCCTCTTGCTAAATGTTGAAATGGCCAATTTAGTGCCCAGGTTTCCTGGATGTCTGGCAGCTCCTCTTTCCCGGAGAAGGGCTCGCAGGAGTCTGAGATTGAGGCTGACCGAATCTTGCCAGCCGCGCGCTTGGAACTTTTCGGGGACAGAGACGCCAGTAAAGTGGGAGGCGAAAGCTCCAGGTCTGTCAGCCCCGGGGACTTCATCAAGCTGTCCATATCATGCGCCATCCTTGGAAGAAACTCTCGGAGCTCGGCTGCGGCATGCTCTCACTATTTCGCACCCGCAGCCTAGAGAATCTGAGGCTCACAATGGGCCGTCACTGTAGCTCGTTCCAAAACAAAAGGCCGAAGCTTCGGCACTCGCCTCCCGCCGTGAGCCTCGCTGTCTGGCCCTGGCGCCGAAACGAGCCCGGAAGACGGAGGTTTGGTCTTTCTAGAATGTCACCGTCCGGAGAGTAAACTTTGACAGCCTGTGATTCAAAGATTAGACTTGATGCCTCTGGTTGCCTGCTGCGTGTGGTCTCAGATGTGAACACATGAGTCTCTCTTGTTGCTTTTGCAAGCAAATCCCAAAATACTAAGTTCTTGCATCTTTGTGTTTAAGTAGTGGATCTTTAAATGTGGAAGATCGGGCCTTGTATGGTTTCTTCTTATTGCCAGGCATTGGCGTCTGGCATAGGCATAGAGTGCAATAAACAAAACCAGCGTTGCACAACATGCGCAGAAACAAGCAAGATCACCCTGCGATGTCCAAACAAAATCAGAAGCATATGAGAAGGTAAACACGTGCACATGTGTCGACAACTCTGCGACATACTACTACTACTACTACTACTACTACTACTACTACTACTACTACTACTACTACTACTACTACTACTACTACTACTACTACTACTACTACTACTACTACTACTACTACTACTCAAGCAAGTAATTTACGGGAGCAGAATGAAGGAAAAAAAAAGACAATGGTCAAAGCGTTCACTTGTAAAACATTGCAGAATATCAGCCCACGTTTTTCGCATGCAAGCAATTCGCTCGGACACGTGAAAAAGTGTACACTCTCACGTTTGAGACGTGCAGAATTCGTCAAGTGACGCACATTTGGCTTTAAGACTGTGAATTACACAGGAAAGTGCTCAACATGTGAATGTGGGAGAGTAAGCACGTTCATGGTTGAGACTCAGCAGACCTTGGCCAGCACGTAAGCAACTAATTCCTGTGATCACTGTTGAGAGTTTGTGGCAGCGTGCGCAAGCCAAGTAAAAAAGTCAGTACACGTTCGCTGGGACTCAGGGTAATGCACAAGTTCACCAATAGATTGCCAAGACGACGTGAACACGTTTTTCTGGCAAACTTTGCAAGGAGATTACAACGCAGAAGGACTGTGTGTTTTTACTTTTGAGACTTTGCGTACGTGAAGTTACTCAGCACGAACAAGTGCGAACGTGAATGGACATTGCGGAGTACATGAGCAAACGATGCATAACCAAGAACCAGGAACAAGCGGCAAGGAAAAAGACCGTCACATACCACTTTGCGGAATACTTGAGAGAGTGATTCATAGACATGAACAAGTGCAACATTTAGCCATGACGCAATCCGTGGCGTGGAGCAACTTGGACAATGACAATAACTTGAACAGGTGGTTCCGCAGGGATGGGCTTCAACATTCAAAACACACATTGTCCCTGGAAGTTTGGAAAGCCGATACCTGAACATGAACAGGTGCATAATGTGGCTTGGACCAAACTCTGCGTCTCAATTCCCAAAGTGTCGAAGCGTACTTTACAGATACTCTTCGTCATTAGACTTTGCGGGGTTTTACAGAAGGAACAGCAACTCATACTTGCGAAGATGTGAAATACAAAACAAGGACTGAACAAAAGGCCGATGTCGGTCAACAGAGTCGGGCCTAACTCTTGAACATCTCAACTCCAATTGTGTGAGACGAGGTTCTTTATAATGCACTTCTTGTGTTTGACAGAGTTTGCAGGTAAGGCTAATGTATTGAATAGCATAGATGATGTGGAAAACAAGCACACACCGAACATGACGAACATGTAATTGTGGTTTGACAGAGTTGAGATTCAGAACTGACATGCCCGATTCTCAAAATGTCAAGGCCTATTTACAATGCTTGTTTTTGCGTGCTTGGACTTCGCAAGAAACAAACAATGGTTTGGAAAGCTTGGGAAATCAACAAAAACAAGTATCGACAAAAGGGCGAGTCGGCCAAACTCATGAAAAAGAAGCATATAAAATAGAAACAAATCAATTCAACCAATCTTCGGCGAGTAATGGATTATGTAGGTAGAAACATCGATTTGACAAACATGAAGAACCACACACAACATTGAAAAGCCGTTGTAGTTTGAACGTCTCAACTTCGAACTTGTCAACACCGTGTCATTGGAGCAACTGGAGCACGTGTTGGAAGCACGATGACTGCGGCGCACCAAAAGTTTGATGCCACAAACTGTGTAGCAAGCGCTCCTCCTAAAGCTTTAAAACTTGTCCCACATGTATCTGATCTACCTCTTGCCATTTATTTGGGACATATCAATGGTTGCAAGCTCCCACAGCCCACTGTCTGAAAGAACACCTCTCTCCCGCACGCCGACGATTGAAAAGGCTGGGCACGCGAAGGAAGGCGTGCAGAAGTGACCAGACTTTTATCGACAACTGTTGATTTCCCCGGAACTTCGGGGCTTGGGCCTTCAAAACAATGCAACAGCTCTGGGGGAGCACGTAGTTGTCACGGTTTCCACCGAATCAAGGATTTCGAATATCGCAAAGGTTCGGAACCCCCCAGACTCATGGGAGTTCTATGGCTAGAAGATCTGTTCCCCCGAGTCCGTTGGCCGAGTGCCATCATTTGAAAGGCCGAAAAAACGCTGAGAAAATCGAGCGAACGCGAACGCCATTAGGTTCGAAGCTCCAGGCCAGAAGAAAAGTGGAGAGAAAGAAGCCCAATGAGGGCGCGTTTTCAATCCAAAGCCACATCGCAGGACATGCCCGAGGATTCATCCGAGGACCAGAAACTCCAAAACCCCGACACTGATTTCAACATGTCCAGCTGATTTCCATGGAGCTTGGACGAGCTGAGACAGAGATCTGCGATGCCTTGCCGGCGCCAAAGGCTTGGGGCTAGCTCAAGGGGCAGCCTACCGAGCTTGCCACCCTTGTCACCGGCATGTCACCGCTTGTCACCGGGCACTTTTGGGTGAAAAAACGCAGCCTGCCAAGCTTGTCACCCCTCGTCATCGGTATGTCACCCTTTTTGTGACAGCCGTGCAGGGTTTCGGCACGGTTTCTCGGCACGCGTCGATGTCACCGTTTTCTCACCGGGGCTCGAGGTCTCCCACGGTCCGTGTCACCCCCGTCGTACGCTCCTCTCGATTTCCGTTTTCGGCCCGAAGCTGCCAAGATCCATCCTGCCGAGCTTGTCGCCGTTTGTCACCGCTATGTCACCGCTCCCTTTTTGGCCGAAAAAGTGCCCAAAACGGCCAACTTCCCGACTTCCCGAAGACTTCGTTCTCCAGCAAAATTGTCCGTTTTTCACCCAAGCACGGCAGCCTGCCGAGCTCCTCACCCCTGCCCCGACAACCTGCAGCGCGCTACATTTGAAGACATATACTTCAAGGCCAAAGTTGTCCATTGACAGCTTTGTTGCAATGGATGCTTGCATAAAAGGTGTGTCTTCGAACGCAGGGATGAGGCAGCTACTCTTGGCATGGGAAGAAGCAGAAGCCTTAGGCCATGTGTGGTCTCAGTCCACCCGTGTTCCTTCTAGATCGAATCCAGCAGATGAGCCGTCTCGAGATGTCTCAATAACATAATTGCGAAGCTTGGTGCAGAACGTGACACGGGTTCTTGCCCGCTTGGTGGAACTCCCTTGACACTTTGGTGAGTGATGAAAGTGGGGTGGGGGTGGCAAAGTGCCTGAGGCACCTGATGATGGTCGCTCCCCATGATGGACAAGCGCTTGGCCTTTTTTTGGGCAAAGTGGCTTGAGCCTTGTATGTTTGAGTGGGTGCACTTTGCAATGTTTGGTTTCTCAACTCGGCCCTGTCGTTGGGAAACCCTCTCCCCCTGTTTGCGTGTTGTGTTTAAAGGGTTCAAAGGTTATCTGGGCTTGCCCTGTTCCCTTTTAACCCTTTTTAAAGGGTCTGCTACTCAGTTTGCATTGTGGGGGTACTCAGACTGCATTGGGAGAATCGAAAGGCTCAAACTGACTAGTGAAGTATCAGAAAGACTTGTGGGTCTCAAACTGCATTGCGAGGGTTCTCGGACTGGCTTGTGAAAAGCGTCGGACTGGCTTGTGAGCATCAGACTGGCTTGTGCAAGTTGTCAGACTGGCTTGTGACCCGCGGCAGACGATGGAAGCATCAGACTGGCTTGTTGAAAAAGAATGAAGAAAAGAAAACAAGACGAGGTCAACTTGTGTTAGGGTTTGAGGCGTATTCTTGGAAATGTTGTTTCACGGCGCGCAGCTCGGCTCAAACAAATCAAATTGACAATCCTCATCTTCATCACCATCACCATCCTCATCATCCTCATCATCATCATCATCATCATCACCTTCATCATCATCCTCCTCATCATCCTCATGATCGAATCATCACCATCATCATTATCCTCATCGTCATCATCATCGCAATCCTCATCATCATGAGCGCCATCATCATCTTCGCCATCACCATCATCATCATCATCATGACCGTCATCATTGTCATAATCATCACCAGCATCGCTATCATCATCATCACAACCCTCATCATCATCATCATCACCATCATCATCCTCGCCACCATCCTCATCATCGTAATCATCACCATCATCAGCATCATCACCACCATCCTCATCATCGCAGTCATCGCCATCATCAGCATCATCACCATCATCATCATCATCGCCATCATCATCATCATCGCCGTCCTCATCGCAATCATCGTCGTCCCCATCATCATCGCCATCATCATCATTGCCATCCTCATCACAATCATCACCATCATCATCATCACCATCCTCACCAGCGCCATCATCACATCATCGCAATCCTCATCATCCTCATCATCCTCATCGCAATCGCCACCTTCACCGCCATCAGCATCACCAGCATCATCATCATCGCCATCTTCCTACTCACCATCATCACCATCATCGCCATCCTCATCTTCGTCATCATCATCACCATCATCATCATCATCGCCGCCCTCACG